ATTTCGAAATTCAAATGTTCTCAGAAAACTAAGTCAAAGTTCTGAATATGAGAAGAAAAGGAAAGAACACAACACTCAACCAGGGGACCAGCCTGTCCCCAACTAAAGGGACTAAATCTGATTTGTTTTACTGTTTCTTTCACAGAGTTCAAGTACTGAAAAGTCAAGGAACAAAAAAGCTCTCAGGACTGAAGAGACTTTTGAAAATTTGATGTTCTCAGACACTTTTAACACATCTGTTTGCTTCAAAAATTTGGAGGTAAGTGGTTCTTCTCTTCTCCTCTGATTTTTGTCTTTTTGTTGGTGGGGTGGGGTGCTTTTGCGCCTTCTGGTGGTGGGGTGGGGTGCTTTCATTCCTTCCAGAGGTGGGTTGGGGTGTTTTTGTACCTTCTTTGTTGCCTCCATTTTGGGTGCCAACTGTTTCCAAGTTGGCAATGGTTCCAAGTTTCTGGGACAATTGACATGAGTTGCTGTACTTTGAAGTGACAAAAAAGGATATGTTTCAACATCTACTACAATCCAAACAACAAAACTGTGTGTATGACCTTCAGTATGAATTGGTGAGTTTTATAATTTTTCTTGCAAAAAATTAAAGTATATACTGAATGATGGAATGTTCTGAAACAGAGTCACGGCACAGTGCTACATAAACCTTTTTTGTCTTACAAGACAGTTTTGCAGTAATTGATATGATACCTCAATTACCAACTCATGAGGAGATTACCAGATTTCCTGAAGATGGGAATGTTGAATTTAGTTTGCTCCCTTTTGGTGGGCATGCCTCAAACCAGTGACACCCAGTCACTAGATGAAATAAGTATACTGTTCAATTGACACTTGTCAACATATGTATATATTTATCTTCAGATACAATAAACAATCCTACAATGTACTCTGCTCCTAACAGAGGGTTTCTGACCACTGAGTGGGGACAAGTTAGTCAAGGGTCTTTCATCATTTTGGGATCCTTGCATGGGTCAACAAAGTGATAATGCAATGATAAACAAGTGAAAAGAGAAAAGTAGAATCTTCTTGGCTCAGCAACAATGTTTTAACTGATTTGTATTAAGTTTGCCCTCTTACTCATTAGATATTCTAAGATACAAGAAACAAGGCTGCATATGCAGTGATGGCACCATCCTGCATTAATGAGAAGGTCTGTGTTCAAGCTCAGAAGGGCTTCATGAAAGTAGGAACAATTTTAGGAGGTTGACAACACCTTCATCATGAGCCGCTTTAAGAAGGTCACTGTCATCAAAGACTTTCTGGTTTTCCCTTCTTGTAAGCAGACAATGCGTCAGGCAGCCTTGTATGTTGGTGAAATAGTAGGCTGACTTAAATTCCAGAGCTTTAAATTATCCTGTGTGAAAGGGCAGTTATGCAGCCCCTGAGCAAATTTTAATTAAAGAACATATGGAAGACAGGCAGAGAGGACTACAGCAAAATGTCTGCTTTTCTTCAGTGCTGAAGTAAGACTTGTTTATTTTTGCATACATCACATCACAGGTAAAATGAGGCTAATAATGCTCCTAGGCCCAAAAATTGTGCAGGGTCCAAAAATCCTCTAGCTATGCAGGAATCTCAAAACTGGATTTTTTGTATCCAAAAAACCTTTTTTGATGACTACCCCAGGTGTTGGGGATGAAATCATTCATAAATTATGAAATTAGTCTAAATGCGTTTTAATGGAGTTATAGTGATATTTCATGTCATCAAGTTTCATTGTTATTGAAGTACAGTGGTGCCTCACCCAACGACCACAATTCGTTCCCGCGCGGTGGTCGTTGGGTGAAATGGTCGTTCGGCAAAACACTTTTTCCCTTAAGATATAAGGGAAAACACTTTAATTTGTTCCTGAAAATAGAAAAAAGGGAAAAATCATGAAATACATGGTCAAATTGCTCAATTTTCATGGAAACTGTAAAGATAACCATCACCAAGAATTAAACATTACTGCAATATATGTTCTTCTAACAAGTATTTGAGCCTTTTTTCAAGTTTCTACACTTTTTTCAGAACAGATGTCACTCTCTCACTCAGAGTCCAACTCCTCCTCTATCTCCACCTCAGCCCCTGGGGGTGGAAGATAAAGCACTTCCTCACTTTCTCCACCCTCCTTAGCTTTTTTGGCAGGCAGTTTTTTGAAGAATGAGTCCAAAGTGCTTTGTTTCTTCCTTTTCTTGAGGATGGCTCTGTAATGATGCACAGCAACATCATTGAAAAGATCAGCCACTCTGTTGACCTCAGCCTGATTAGGATGATGTTTTCTGAAAGCTGATTGCACTTCTTCCCACTTTCTCAGGAGATCCTTGATTTCAGCAGTCTTGAGTGGCTGAGGAGCAGTTTCATCTTCCCTTGAAGAGATTTCTCTTTGATCTTGATCATGTTCCTCCTGAAGTATGGCTTGGAGTTCTCCAATGGTGAGCTCCTCCTGATGCTCATCTATCAGCTCCTCCACATCTTCCTCCTCCACCTCAATTTGCAGATCTTTTGCAATTGAGAGAATTTCCTGAACCACTTCACTGTCATCAGTGGTTTCTGTCTGTGTGGTTAAGGAAGGAAGGAGATTCTTCCATGCTGCAGCTAAAGTTCTTTGGCTGACTTCACCCCATGCCTTCTGGATCAATCTGATGCATTCTACAATGTCAAATTTCTCCTTCCAAAATTGTTTCAGAGTTAGGTCAGCTGAAAATTGACAGGCCTCAAAGCATCTTCTGAATAACCCTCTGGTGTACAACTTCTTGAAGCTGGCAATTACTTGCTGGTCCATGGGCTGGAGAAGAGAAGTTGTATTTGGGGGCAGGAATTGGATCTTGATGAAGTCATAATCTTCCTCCAATGCTTCCTCTAAGTCTTTTGGATGACCTGGGGCATTGTCAATAATGAGCAATGCTTTTTCCTCCAGATTTTTTTCCCTTGGATACTTCTTAACACTTGGAGCAAAGACTGAAAGAATCCACTCCTTGAAAATCACTTGAGTCACCCAAGCTTTCCTGTTGGCTGTCCACATGACAGGTAGCTTTGATTTGATGATGCTGTTTTTCTTGAAAGCTCTTGGATTCTCTGAGTGATAGACAAGCAAGGGTTTTAGTTTCAAGTCACCACTCAGGTTTGCTCCTAGAAGGATTGTTAATCTGTCCTTCATTGCCTTGTGTCCTGGCAATTTCAGCTCCTCTTGAGTGATGAAAGTTTTGTTGGGCATCTTTTTCCAGAACAACCCAGTTTCATCACAATTGAAGATTTGTTGTGGACAATACCCTTCCTCACTGACAAATTTCTGGAAATTGTTCACAAACTTCTCAGCTTCTTCTTTATCTGCACTGGCAGCCTCACCATGCATCACCACACTGTGGATTCCAGTTCTCCTTTTAAACCTGAAGAACCATCCCCTGCTTGCTTTGAACTCATCAGTCTTCTCTGCACTGGTTCCAGGATTCACTTTCTTCAGCTCTTCATATAATACACGAGCTTTTTCACAGATGATTTCTTGTGTGGTGATGTCTCCAGCCATTTGCCTTTCATTGAACCACACAAGAAGGAGCCTTTCCATCTCATCACTGATAGGCTTTCCATGAAGGGGGTTGTAAATCTTGGAAACTCCTTTTGCAACCTTTGCTTGCAATATTGCATCTTTGTTCTTCAAAATGGTGCTTATTGTTGAATGGTTGAATCCATACACCCTGGCCAGCTCACTCACTTTAGAGCCTTCTTCAATCTTCTTCAAAATTCCTCACTTCACTTCAATTGAAATTTCTCGACGGATGGAAGATGTCTTCTGTTTGTTGCCTTTCTTTGGCCCCATTCTTGATTTCACTTGTATATTTCACTTTGTTTCGCACTTAATTCTCTGGAACAATGTAAAGCATAGGTTAGTTGGGCGTTTGGGGGGGAAAAAAAATTTTTCGAGTAAAAATCCGAGTTGCCAGCCAAACGACAAATGGTTGTTCAGCAGGACAATGGGTGTTGGGCGGGACACTTTTTCAGGGTTTTGAACCGTCATTCAGTGGATCCGTCATTGGACGGAGCGGTCGTACGGCAAGGCACCACTGTAGTGATGTGACATGTTGGGGGAAGAGCCCATGTTTGCCACTCAATTGAAAGATGTGGTTGGCATAGCACGGTAGAAGGTTGGTTACCTTTTGCTGTTTGGTGGGCGTGCCATTAACAAACGTTATGCCCTCACCAATTGGCGCTCTGGGCATGCCATTAACAAACCTTATGCCCTCAATATTGGCGCTTTGGGGGTCTTGTTGATAGGTTTAATTTGTTGGAACCCTGAGAACATGCACTGGTCATTGAGGGTGACACAGAACAGGAGATTCTTAAGGGTGTTGAGACCAAGAATAATGGGATAGAGCGCATTGGACAGTAGCAAGAAGGTTGCTTTGTATGCAGTGGATCCAAGCAAAAAAACGGTACTTACTGTGTGTGTGATGTTTCTTGAGATGTGAAGAATGGCTGCTGAGATCCTCACCTTCATTGGGTGCAGGGATAGGCCAACCTTTCTGCCAGGTCCGTGGCCATGAAGGAGCAAGTTGCGCTGGTGTCAATGAGGGCTTTCATCCATTTTCCTTTGATGGTTATCATTATGGTGAGGCTGTCATCTGTGGGAGTGTGAATTGAGCAGAGGACAGTCGTCATTGCCTAACTTTCCTGTTTCCCTCACATGTGGCGGCTGTGTGTCCTGCAAGGCTGCATTGCACACATTTACTGGGCTGAACTGATGTGTCCTGCAAGGCTGCATTGCACACATTTACTGGGCTGAACTGATGTGTCCTGCAAGGCTGCATTGCACACAGTTACTGGGCTGAACTGATTGCATGGGGGGGGGCGTATTCACCTGGTTTGCCGGATTGTTTTGGTATTCAGCTGATGAATGTGCCACTTTGCACCCCGGTGGAATGAACAGTTTTGTTTTGTTTGCCCATTTGCTTTGCTTGTGGGCGTCGATGCTCTGGAGCTGGTTCCTGACATTGTGCACTCTGAGGGTGAGACTCATTGTTCTGAGTATATTTCGAAGACAATCCGCAGTACGTGTAAAAATGTGCCGCTGAGTGTGTGAGCGTTTGTCGCCCGATGGATGCGCACGAGAACGTGCGGATCCTGCCCAAGTTTCATGAAGGCCAGGAAGTGCTGTGTAGGGACAATAACGCGTCTCTGTTGTACGATGCTCGCGTGCTGCTCGTCAAGTACCGACGCGGCCGTTTTGAGTACTACATCCACTACAAGTACTGGAAGAAGTCGTGAGTCGTCGAGTCCGCTGTTTTTTTTTTCCCAAATCCAACGCAAAGCTTCAATTTTCTGACGATGGTTCGTTCCCCATCCCTCCAATGCTTTCAGGTGGGACGCATGGGTCACAGCGGACCGTTTGTTGGAACGAAGCAAGGAAAACTTGTCACAGCAGCGGTTCCTTTTCGGGAAGCATCCAAGTCCGTAAGTTTGGGATAGAAAAATTGAATCCGACGTCATCTCGTTCAAGTACTGTACAGTGCTGTAGTTTGTTTCACCAAAAGAACAGTTGCGCCGAGTCGAAACGGAAAGTATTCATTTTTCATGCGCCGCGTCATTGAAATGAATATACTATCCCCAACGAAAATGACTACTTATTTTAGATCAACGCCCGTAGTCCTCAATCAATTATTTATTTTCAGGAAGGTGAAGTTGTTCTCGAAAAAATGCCTGAACAAGTCGTCGAAGGACCCTGTCAATGACAGTTCGGACGAGAAAACCTCGCAGTCATCGTCGTCGGCCGACGAGGCTGGGACGGAACAGACGGCGCGAGACGAGTTCGAGGAAACTGTGGCAGAAGGCGAATGTCCAGCGAGATCCATGTCTGCGTCGCCGGCCAAGGACGCCGGCGACTGTCGTCGTACTCCGCACATATCAGTGTTGCAGCTCAAGTCCTTCGACCCCGGAGACAGCGGCGCGGAGAATCAGCGCGAACGAAGTCTATCGCCGAGGAGCGACGCGAGTTTCAGCAGCTCCACAACATCCCGCGATGTTGTTGGCAAGCTTCGTCCAAGGTTGGACCGTAAGCTTCCGAGTAAGTTTCATATTGATTTGAGTGAAGAACACGGTGATTCATGTACCGTACTTAAACACTCGCGAAAAGAAAAAAGGAAAAAATCACCGCGATCCCGTGGCAAGTTTTATTTGTTTGCATGCTCTTTGGCGGAAGATGTGTTTAGGGCTTCACTGAAAATTTTCATGGGACCTCTGAAGCGATTTGCGTTCTGGCTTGATAATCCTGGAATTATGGGTTCTTTGGGTATTTATTGTAACTGTATCTGATTTTCTGATCAAGTAATTCGGTTGAATGGCTTACGAAAGGGGCAAATGCACGGTGTCCCATTTTCTTTTGCAGTCAGTCATACATTGTTGATGCAGATGATACAGTACTGTTTTCTCCTTGCGCATTAAAAGGATGAAAAATTGTGTTCGATTTATATATCTGCGAGAGTTGATTGTGTTCTCTGTTATTACAGTATTATTTTTCAACGAAGTAATTACCCCGATGTTCTTTATTGTTTCGGTCCAATGCTGTTCGAATTTTGTGGGTACTGTACTGTACGGATACACTGTCAATTCGTATGCATTTTGTGTACTATGCATGGTACTCGATATTTGGACCAATCGAAAAATGCCGACTTGTCCCACTTCCATGTACAGTACAAGTGTTCCCCAAGTTCCAGTACAGTACTGGATCTTGTCGTGAGGACACCGTCTGTTTCTCCAAGTTTGTGTTTTGTGAACGCGCCGCCGTGTACAGTATTGCATGTAGATTTGTATCAGAGGGCTGACAACAGATCTGCATCATACCGTATTTCTCTATCTCTCTCTCTCTTTCTGCGGAAGCGTATTCCGCAGTTCGACGGAGGAACCAGTTCCGACGGGCACCGTCCACCAGGTCGGAGACACCGGACGATGCCCGGGTCGTGAAGGCGGAAGCGGGGGTGACGAGGGAGGAGCAGCCCGCGTCAATGACGGCGGCTTGCGTTGAAGGCGCGTCAACGGGTTCCTTGACGACCTGCGAGTCGCCTGACCCGATCCTGGTGGAGGTTCCTAGACCGAGTGCGCGTCGAGCCGTTGCCTTCCGTCCGTTGGACATCCACACCATTTCGCTGCTGCCACCGACAACGACGCCGGTGGCGGGTGGCGGCGGCTCGGACGCAGAGGATGAGGAGGACGAAGACGATGATGACGGGCCCGCCTTGCCGGCAAACGAATGCGTACGTGACTTTATGATGCGATGGACCTCGATTCTTTCCTGCCGAGTCAATTGAAGCATGTGTTTCATAATTTTCTGCATTTGCGTGTTTTTTTTTTTTTTATTTCCTCAGAATTTCATTGTTCCGGATGCCCTGGTGGCCCTGGCCCCGGTCCACGTGAGACCGGAACTTAGTGGCGAACGGTCCAACAAGATGAAGCGGAAGCGACGAGGCAGGAAACGCTTCCGGGTGCACGATGCGGACGTCTCGGATGACGAATCCGAGCAGTACATCATGCTCGACGAGGATGTGAGTTGTGACGAGTCTGTGATGTGTTTTTTTCCCTGAATCCTGTGTTGGTCAATCAAAAAATCAATCGCTTGGGCGGTTTTTTTTTGTTTGTTTGTTTGTCGTACTAAGGAGGAAGAGGACGAGTACTTGTGTCCCCTGGGGCTCATCTTTCCCCGTAAGCTCAAAGAAGTGCTGTATGACGACTGGGAAAAAGTTCGTCTTGAAGTAATGGTAAGAACGAGAGTGGGTGTATGAAGCCCTATTATTCACTCGCCGTTATTTTCTTTTTTGTGACTTCATTTTGCGACAGTTACCTCTGGGTGAGCCAGCAGCGACCATCGAAGAGATCTTGAATCAGTTCGAGCTCTCGAAACTCTCCACTTTGAAGAGAGGAACTCAGGAATGGTAAGTTGAACCTTTCTTTGTTGTTCTCTCGATTGAATTAATGCGCTAAAATTTACATGTGTTTTGCCCCACTTGTTCAGGTTCGAGATGCGAAGTTATTTAGCTGTGATCTTGGAGATAATCGACGGTATTTATGCGATGCAGTTTTTGTATCAATTTGAGAGGCCAATGCACACCCAGGTACGTGGCAGGATTGCCAAATTTTCAACCCACGATTTTGAATTCGTCGCCCTCCTACATTCTTTGGCGCAGGAAAAATTTCAGCCCTCTTCGACTTATTTTGTTTAACCATTTTACAAATTTCACCTTGACACCTTTCTGCCCTTTACTCAAATATTATTCGCCAATCTGGCAATTTTTGGTATAACGCAGTTTCTCTTTATTGAAATCAACATGGCATTAACTCCAAGGGTTGCCTGTAACCTCTTCCAAGGTCATTTAGCCGCTTGAATCTGAACGCACCTTCGCAGCCACCACATTCCCATCACGGGTGACCATTCTTGTGCGTCCCTTACCCTGCTTCTCTGTGACCAGGGACTTGGAGCAGGGTCAACGAAAAATTTGCTCTACCCTCCACTCCAGACACAATCACCTACTCCGGGCTGGTGCTCTGCTTCAGTGCCCCAGAACTCCGGACACTTTTCAGATCCACTGACTAGTAAAGTAAAATTCCATAACAATGATCTTGTTATGACAATTATTTAATTCAATAAAAATTTTTTCTTGATCTCAGCAATTGTTCCATAGGAACAATGCCATGAAAATTTGAATTTTTCACAAACTAATTTTCATCAATGATGTCATAATATATAATTTTGCTTTGAATATACGTGCGCTGTACATGCCATAAGAATTTTCAATAATTGGCAAACAACTGGAAAATCTGACTTGAATGTGATGAAAATCAACAAAATATACAATTTCTAATCTTCATGAATTTATATTTAGCTATGATATAGGTAGTGGCCCATCGGGGCCTCTTACCTATATTAAAGAGGTTCTCTAAAAAATCACCTAATGAAAGGTTCCTGGTCCCCTCAATTTTGTTGCATATACTAGTGTTCCCCAACCCATGGTCCACAGACCTGTGCAAATTTGCAGAAGTTTTTTGCTGATCTGTGGGAGATTTTCCTCAGCATAATAAATTGGAGATCATCAATAATTTCATGCGGGAGATTTTCCTCAGCATAACAAATCAAAAGGAGCCATGAAGTCGGTTATTTCTATGTGAAATTTCTGAAGGATAATTGCTGTTTCAATTACGTGATGAAAAATGTAAGTTGGCTTTTCTCCTGGTAACACTTCAGACAAATTTTCATCTGCTTAAATAAATTATTTCAATTTTTCATTCTGAGAAACTTTTCTTCAAGCCCACTTTTCTAATTTTTTGAAGACATTCCACAATACTTTAACTGCTTCATTTTTTCTTGGCCAATTTTTAAGGAAGCAAGTATTGTTCAATTCTATAAGAATAAATGAAACTTTGCCTACCTGCAGAAATCTTTTTGGAAATGTGCCAGTCTGGAAAAAAGTTTTCTGGAAATTTTCTGCCCTGTGGGCTCAAAAAGGTTGGGGAACAGTGGTACAGACTAGAGAGTCTGAAGTGTCTGCCTGTATTGTAGTAGGGTAACCAGGAGATGCATGTTTCAAGTAAGGTGTTGGTAACTTGATGGGCAGTGGCACCAGCTAAACCATCACATTATACATGTGTGGGAAGTACTGCAGGGGATTTTCTTCAACTTTTGAAACTGCTTCATTTGGTATCTGTACATATCTCATAAGACTAACCCATTTTTCAGATTTTCATTGTAAAATAAGAACAAGTTTGCCATGAGGTACTTGCGTAGCACACACACATCCGCATCAAACATCTTTGAGGTTGTTCAGGGAAAACGGATTCGGGATAACCCCCCCTCCCCCCCCTCATGACACACTTTAAAGTCTCAGAATTAAATGGATGAATCCACTGTATGAGCTACAGCCAGGATACAGGGATGTGGGTTCCACAAAAAGGAGACAACAAACTTCAGTTGGATAGGAGAGACCAATGACGTTAATAAAAGCTCCCGTCTCTCAATCTAATCATAATTGAGCAAAAAGGGGGAGAATGTTTTGGGTTTTAGGTTTGAACATCAATACGATTGAAGAAGCATTTGATCATTATTCCTCCGTATGTTATCAGGCTTGGAGCCTGAAATTTTGCCTGCTCCGGGCTCCACCCGGTTCCAACTGAAAATGCTCTTCTCGGGCTCCGCTCCAAGTCCCTGTCTGTGATGGTCATCTTTCCGCATGAAAACGGCTAAAACCACTTATCCGCAGTTGACGAGTGGTCCTCCTTCAGCAGAATTCCCAATCCTTCCACACCAGCAGTCCTAAGAGCAAGTTCATGTGATGCTAGCTGCTCCTTGGTCATTGGAGTGAAAACCGCCAGGACTGAAACATCCACATTTTTATCGCGCGTTTCTGTTTTTTAAATTTTTTGTCTGGGGGATAAAAAAATCCGTTCAACACCAGAATTAAATGAGGAATTGATGAAAAAAATGTTTCATCCCGTTCCAATGGCAGCTTGTGGCTGATTTGGAATACAGTATTTGTGTTAGACCCCTCAAGTGCTGTAGGTAAACATGTAAATGTATACATGCAAATAATTTTTTATTCGTTCGAAACTCGACGCATCCTTGGCATTTTCGTGTGCATTTCGCAGAAAACCAGGAGAAAAGCGACACTGAAACCAACAAACATGTACGGCGGTGTTGGACTTTGCAGAGTCCTGAGCAAGATTGGCCGCATCGTGTGCTTCTCACATCCAGAGTCGTCGGAAGCAAGAAAAAGCATCGCGACTTTGTTGCAAGAATTGATTGAGTAAGCTCGTTCGTTTCTTTGTGTTCGGCACTGAACAGTACAGTACTGTACTGTACAGTGTTTCTCTGTATTAAGAGTTTAAGAAGCATTTGATCATTATTCCTCCGTATTTTATTGTACCTCACCCTAGTTTCGTGGCTCAACGAACGGATTTGTACTGTACATTCCAAGAGTACTACTTTGCGCCCCCGGATTACCTGCGAGCCTACCTGCCTCCTAGCGACGATCGGGATTTCAGGTTCCACGCGGGAGGAAGAATCACTCAGGGCTACTGAACCACGCTTGAATTCATTGTTTTATCCATGTATTTTTTTTCTCCTATTTCCGATCGTATTTTCTACGATGAATGTTGGTTTGCATCGAGAAACCGCATTTCTACGTTCTTTTTTTTTTACAATTTTAGTGACTTGATTTTCTGTATTTGGTTGAAATGGGTGATGAAAAAAATGATATCTTTTCTACTCAAGTATACAGGCAGTGTTGAATTATTATACACAGTACTGTACAGTACTTCCACAGTAAAAAAATCGAAAAGAGTTTCTGCAAGTTTTTAAATAGATGTTGAATGTAGATGAAATATCCTGATGTTGATTTACCTGAGCACATTGTTCATTTCTTAATACCAAATCTGCTGTGACCAATACTGGGTTGTTGACTAATAGCTCCATTAATTCCAACTCCAATGGCGATATAGTGGTGAGAAAAAACATTGTAGCATAGGTAACGCTAATATTTGTAGATGTTCAGAAGTGTTGTCATAAATTCCATGCTCTACTGCTGCATGTTATTGAAGCACATTTTTCAAATGAACAATTATACCTATATAAATATCATTAATCCGCAGTGGGGTAATGCTTGAAAGTATCTCAGGATGTTTGCAAAAATTTTGAATTCTTTGAAAGACAATTGAATAAAACTCCAACAAAATCTTCTGAAATTGTTTCTAGTTTCCCATGCTAGTGCAAAAATTGCATATTTTTCATTAGATTGGCGCAGAAAACCAGACAATAAAATGTTCGTATTCCATGCTGAACAAATGAAATCAGTGAAGTATTCAGATGATGGAAGGGTGTGAAGTTTTCTTATATCTTTAAGCAATCTTACGTGTTTTTCTCTTCAATTTCACATCAACTCTGGTTTTATAGAAATTTTCGATACCCCAGTGAACACAAAGTTGTCCATTTTCCCTCCAATATGTGATTTAGCTCATGCAATTGTAGAGTTCCAAGATTTTTTCAGATTTTAATACAAATTTTCAGATTTAATGCAGGATAGTAAGTGAAAACTTTCTCGTTTTGGTGAGAGCTCTCCATCCATGTCACAAGGTGTTAAAATTTTTTCAGGACAGCCAAAAAATGTCAAATTTGTAATTCTTTTAGCATAAACTTGCCTGCACATACTGACATTTTTTCAATGATTATTTTGCTTGCAATGAATGAAAACTTGAGTGCTTTCAGCATTTTTCAAGAGTGCAGGGGTACATTTCCATTTTTTTTATATTTCCTCTTCAAAAACTTCATTCAAGGTGTAATTGAGGATTACAAAAGGAGGCAAGAAAGGATCCATTCCACACAAAAAAAGACATAATTCAGCTAAAGTGTTCAGCAGCTGAAGATGTTTATCCATAAAAGACATACAGAAAAATGTATTTAGTTTTTTCCCCACAATTAATTCACAGAACACCCAGTGGAAATATGGGAAACAATTTGAATGATAGCTGGCAGCAGACTGACTCAGGATATATGAATATCAAAGTACTGTATTGGAACAGTGACCTTCTATGGTTTTTAACTGTCATCTGCCTTCCAGGAATCTGCACCGCTGCACCTGATCGGCTGCTGAAAGGTGACTGCCATCTAATGGCAATCCAACTCAAATATTCCAAAGCATTCTAGATAATTTGATGTGCATTATATAATTGGTGATCCAATTATTCTGCCACACAAAACCTATAGTTCCTGTCAGTGATATTTTTCTTGATACACGCCTAACAATTTTATGAAACTTCTGCGTTTTTTTTATGTTTGTAATGTTCTGCCCCAAGGTCAGAAAGCAGGGTCAGAAAGACACCTGCGGAAGTCCGGCCATTATAGATCTTGTCCCCTCTGCTGTTCATCAGCGGATCGGATTTTCTTCTCATTTGTGCAAGTTCTGCTCTGCTCCTCTGCTTAAAAATTTTCAACAGCTTATTGTGACATGGGTGGAGAACCCTAACCAAAGCAAGAAAGTTTTCACTTATTATCATGCAGTAAATCTAAAATAGTGTAAAAATCTGCAAACAAAATCCCAGAATAACCTTCAAATTGCGTGGGCTATAGATCATATAATTTTTTTTTTTCAACATTATGGTCCTTATAGTCATGATTTTGCAGCATATGCGATGTGCGTGTGTATATATATATACTGTATATATATATATATACATACTGTACTGCTGTATATATATTTAGACACGCGGAGGAGGGGACATTGTGGTGAGGTGAGGTGAGGTGAGGTGAGTGTCGACGGCGACAGCGCTTTAGCCTCAGTTCGTCGTTGGTGCGCCTCGAGTGTGCAGAGAATTGTATTACTGTACGTATTCTGTGCCCATCACGGGAAAGTTCAGTGCTGCTGATGTGCATGAGCAAGATGCTGCAGCTGATGATCACTATTATGTGCTGTAGTATGATGATACTGCAATATTCAATTATCGCACTTCACATAAATTTAGAATTAAAAATACCGCATGATGTGTAATTTTGATATATGCTGCGCATGTCAGGGTATTATATATTAAATTTTCCTGTACAGTACTGCATGTATACAGGAAAAAACAATAAATGATGTATAGCTGCTGCTGCTGCAGAGGTTTTCTCCATTCTACAATATTTACTACTGTATATGTATATACAGTCCAACCTCTGTAAGTCAAACCCCCCTAAGTCGTAAACCCCCCTAAGTCGAATTTTTCCCCAGTCCCCTTCCAATCCCTTAGAAAATAATGTTTAAAAAACCTCCCTAACTCGAAAAAGTTCATGGGCAACCTCCCTAAGTCGAATTTTTTGTACACAAAGAGGGACATTTTTTTTATTGCAGGCATTTATTTTAGGGGGGGAGGAGAGCCGCTTTAATTTGATGCGGCATCCTCCCCCATTCATTGAACAAAGGGACACTGTTTCCAGTGCCCCGGCACCGGAAACAGTGTCTCTTTTTCCAAAACTGCTTACGAGAGCATGGCATAAACCCCTGCCCAGCAAAAAAAAAAAAAACCTAAGGCAATGAACAATTCCTCCATGTACAGAGAATCTTTGAATTGCCAACCTCAGGAAGAGTGGCATATGGGCAATCGCTACCTCCACTTACCCGCTACCAAATCCCAGGCCCCTATTGAATGCATTGTCTCTCTGGTGGATACCCTTTGGGACCCATTGTGATTTTTTTTTCCATGGGTCAGGGGACACTTTTTTTGTGAGTGTAAAGGAAACAGCTTTCTTTGAATTTACAGTCAAATAAAAACACAGAGAACATTTTAAAAACTTTTTTAAATTTTCTAATTTTGAAATTATTGAATTTCATGCAAAAACTTGACAAAATGATACTGAACATGAAGGATTTCATAAATCCTTCATGTTTAGTCAGTCTGACCATGGCACTTCTGCTTTTAGCATCAGAAGCACCACTGTAGAAGCGTAGCAACAGAATTGCCATGGGGTTTCTACTGCAGTGCTTCTGTTCTGATGCTTGCAGCATCAGAACAGCAACCAGGTAGGAAGCAACCAGGTAGGGACGTCACAATAGAATTGGCATTGCACTTCTACCGTTCTACAGTGGCGCTTCTTTTCTGATGCTTGCAGAAGAAGTGCCACAGCAGAAACGCCACAACAGAATCACCATCATACTTCTGCCTTGGCTTTGCTGTTTGGACACTTGCATCAGAAGCGCCATGGTAGAAGTGTCAGAACAGAATTTTCATGACACTTCTACAGTGGAAGCAAAAGAAGCACCAAGTAGACGTGCCACTGCATTTCTATTGCGGAGTTTCCACTTTGGTGCTCCTGCTGCAAGCATCAGAACAGAAGCACCGCGGTAGAAACACCATGACAATTCTGTTGCTATGCTTCTACAGTGGTGCTTCTGATGTTAAAAGCAGAAGTGCCATGGTCAGACTGACTAAACATGAAGGATTTATGAAATCCTTCATGTTCAGTATCATTTTGTCGAGTTTTTGCATGAAATTCAATAATTTCAAAATTAGAATATTTAAAAAAGTTTTTAAAATGTTCTCTGTTTTTATTTGACTGTAAATTCAAAGAAAGCTGTTTCCTTTACACTCACAGAATTTTTTATTCTGTGTTTAACCCAAAACCTCCCTAAGTCGAAACCTCCCTAAGTCGAATTTTTTTCTTGGTCCCTTGAAATTCAACTTAGGGAGGTTCAACTGTATTGCTTTCAAGAAGCCCCCTTTTTCTCACTGCTCAATATTTAGTCCCAACATTATTTTAATTTTTTTGCAAAAAAATTATAGGTCCCAATACTTCCAAGTGCATCGTTGTTAGAAGATTTTGATGTATGCTGCAGCTGATGATCACTATTATGTGCTGTAGTATGATGATACTGCAATATTCAATTATCGCACTTCACATAAATTTAGAATTAAAAATACCGCATGATGTGTAATTTTGATATATGCTGCGCACGTCAGGGTATTATATATTAAATTTGCCTGTACAGTACTGCATGTATACAGGAAAAAACAATAAATGATGTATAATAGCTGCTGCTGCTGCAGAGGTTTTCTCCATTCTACAATATTTACTACTGTATATGTATATATATATATATATATATATATATATATATATATATGTGGGTGGTGCAGTACGTTTAGCATATTTGGCTTCTTCTGTATATATGTACTGTATAAATGTGCGGGAATAATTCAAGTCCTGATGCACCATCAAGCACATGATGATGCAGCAGCCGCTGTAATGTTTACGTCACTCCGTACGCGTATCGAATGCATGTGTCCTCCTGCATGCAGTATAGTATATATACTGTATTACACATGTACGTATACTGCAGCATCAGGCGCAGCACAGCATGCTGCATGACAAGATTTAGCCCCACGAGTAGTACAATACATATACTGCATATGTGTGACGACTATCTACACGCGCGTATACACATACCTTATTGCATATACTTGTATGTCCATATACTGTATATACTGCTGATGATGCAAGAACTGCAGGCGTTCTTTATTTAGCGGTATTAATACAGTACCTATTTAAAAATGATTTCAATTAACTGGAGAAATTCCTCTGTTTCCATGCTGCGGAGAGAAAAAAGTACTTGAAAAATGATTTGTGAATTGTTGGTTGGTGCGCTGCTGCTGCTGAGATTTGTTGGTGTGAAAACCTTGCTCTCACGCGCCGCCGGATGCCTGTATAAAAGCGCACGCCGAAATTGTTGACTTAATTGGGCACCATTGCTA